CCTTTATCAAATGTATCATTGCCAAATATGTTCTCCCATACAGTGGGCTCTCTTCGTTTTGTTGATGGCTTCTTTTGCTGTGCAGAAGCTTTTTATTTTGATGTAATCCATTTGTTTATTTTCTCCTTAGTTTCCTTTGCCTTAGGAGATGTATGTGTAAACACATTGCTACCAGAGATGTCTGAGATTTTGCTGCCTATGGTTTCTTCTAGGATTTTTATGGTTTCACAACTTACATTTAAGTCTTTTATGCATTTTGAATTTATTCTTCTGTATGGTGTAAGTTGGTGATCTAATTTCATTTTTTTGCATATATCTTTCCAATTTTCCTAACACTGTTTATTGAAAAGACTCTCTTGGCTCCATTGTATGCTCTTGCTTCCTTTGTCAAATATTAATTGAGCATAATGGCTTGGGTCGCTTTCCGGGTTACCTGATCTGTTCCATTGATCTTTATGCCTGTTCTTGTGCCAGTACTTAGCTGTTTTGATTACGGTAGCTTTGTAGTATAACTTGGAATCTGGTATTGTGATTTCTCCAACTGTTTTTCTTTCTCAAAATTTCTGCAGCTATTCAGGGTCTTTTTTGATTCCTATAAATTTTGGAGGAGTTTGTTCTGGCTCTGTGAAATATGCCTTTGGTATTTTAATAGGGATTGCATTGAATCTGTAGATTGCCTTGGGTACTATGGACATTTTAATGATGTTAATTCTACCAATCCATAAACATGGTATATTCTTCCACTTGTTTGTATCTTCTCTTTTTTCAACATCCTATAGTTTTCTGAGTACAGGTCTTTTGCCACCTTGGTTACATTTATCCCTAAGTATCTTAATTTTTTTGTTGCAATGGTAGATGGGATTGTTTGTTTAGTTTCTCTTTCTGAGAATTTATTATCGGTATATAAAAAAGCCATTGATTTTGGGGTATTGATTTTGTATCCTGTTACATTTACATTGCCAGATTCATTTATTAAATCTAGTAGTTTTTTTATGGAGTCTTTAGGGTATTTTGTGTACAATATGATGTCATCTGCGAATAATGAGAGTTTTACTTCCTCCTTTCCAATTTGAATGCCTTTTACTACTTCTTGTCTGATCGCTATGGCTAGCACTTCCAGTACTATGTTGAATGAGTGGTGAAAGCGCACATCCCTGTCTTATTCCTGTTCTTAGAGGAAATGCTTTTAGTTTTTGCCCATTGAGTATAATGTTGGCTGTCAGCTTGTCATATATGGCCTTTATCATGTTGAGATATGCTCCCTCTATTCTCACTTTGAAGAGAGTTTTTATCGAAAATAGGTGTTGGATTTTGTTGAATGCTTTTTCTGCATCTGGATCATTATCTCACTTCTTACACAAAAATCAATTCCAGGTAGATTAAGTGTCTAAACTTTTACAGAAAATATAGAGAATATCTTAATGATTTTGGAGTGGGCAAGGATTTCTTAAGTCCAAACCACAATGGAAAACTAATCAATTTGACTATATTGAAATCAATTACTTCTCTATAACAAAAGACACGATAAAGTGAAAAGACAAGCCACAAATATTAGTAACACATATAATCAACAAAGGGCTTATTTTTAAAACATATAAAAAACTACATTTCTATAAGATAAAGACAAAATCCTTAAATTCACAATGAAATATCATTTCATACCCAGATTGGCAAGAATTAAAGTATGCTTGACAATGTGAAGAATAGTTGAGAATGTGGAGCAATGGGAATTCTCATACTCAGTTGCTATGGATATAAATTGGACAGTCACTTTGGAGAGCAATTTGGTAATATCTGACAAAATCGAGGTTGTCAATATTCTTACAATACTGTGTCTTTCAACCTGGGAAATCACAAATCTATAGGCTGTAAAGTCTATTTAACAACTAGTAGTTTTTCAAATGAAGTATAGAATAAACAATAAAATACCAGCATGCATTGCATGTAGCACAGATTATTATATCACAGAACTTTTTTTTCACTTTTATACTGAGTGCTAGGTAAAATGTATTTCATACTGTGAGTCTGGTTAAAAAAAAGGGGGGAGCTGCCTTTGAGAAGCTCATTTACATATATTGGAGACAAGTATTGGAATTTTTCTTATATGTATAGTATAAGCAGCTAAAAGATCCATTAAGATAATGAATAAATTGTGGAATGCTCATGAATAAAATACTACACAGTAGTGAAAATGAATGAAGTAGAGTTGCGTGTCAATATGGATAAGTCTCTCAAAACAATGTAAAAAAAAAAAAAAAGCAAGCACATATGTGGAACATATTGTTTATCTGATGTTTAAAAACATGCAAACTAGGCCCTGGCCGGGGAGCTCAGTTGGTTAGTGTTGTCCCGAACGCCAAGGATGTAAGTTCAATCCCCGATCAAGGCACATACAAAAATCAACCAATGAATGCATAAATAAGTGGAACAAGAATTTGATGTTTCTATCTATCTATCTATCTATCTATCTATCTATCTCACTTTCTTTCTCTCTCTCTCTCTAAAATCAATCAATAAAAATTTTTTAAAAACATGCAAGCTACATTGTTTACAGGTACATACATATGTAATTTTACATACACAGTAAAACTTATGTGAGACTGATAAATACCAAGTTTAAGATAATAGTCACTTGTCAGGAGGTAAAAGATCTGTTAGGATTGGAGAGAGGGCTTTATTCATTTTTATTTGTAATGTTTCATTTCTTTAACGAGATGGTGGATACAGTTCATCATTCTTTATACTTTTATTTGAAATATTTCAAAAAAAATGAGAAAAGAGGCAATTATTTAAAAAGTAATTTAAAGAAAACAATGGGAGGAGAGAACACTGAAGCACAAATGGAGGCACCAAGTTTGGCTGTGAAGAGAAGCAGAGAAATGGGTTGTTAATTAGAGGGGCTGGTATTAGTAAAAAGAAGGATTTTTTTTTTCTTTTTTAAGATGGATAAGGTCCTAGAGCATGTTGGTATATTTCTGGGAAAGAACAGTGGGAAGGAGGAGATTGGTGACTTCAGCAGTAAAGGGATAACAAATAAGAGCAAAGACCTAGACTGTTGCCTACCTCGTTTCTCAGCGGCCAGTCTTCCTTTCTTGTAGTGTGTCCTCTTCTCCAGAGCCCACTTAGTCTTTCTAAGACAAAGCTTTGCTTGTGTTACTCTGTCCTGGAGAAAACTTTCATGACTCCCCATCACTTGTGTCCTGGAGCTCACACTCCTCAGCCTGGCATTGGAGACTCGTCCCAGTTTGTCCTCAACTTGCCTTTCCAGTCCTATCTCACTTTCCTCTACACGAACACTCTTCTCACTCTTCCCTGAACACACCCAAGCCGCTTTACAGGTGTGTTGGCTCCCTGTTTGGAATGTGCCTGCCTTAACTTTGCTGGGAACGTTCTTTCATCTTCATTTTGTTTTTATCTCCATGTAACTTTTTCTTAAATATACCCAACCCACATTGACTTAGCTCTGAACTCTGCAATGTGGAGTATTTTTGTTGCACTTGGTACCTGTGTGCTGCCGTGTATTTTTATTCATCATCATTGTGTAATAGAAAGAGTACGGCTCTGGGGATCACAGACTTGGATTTTTCTATTTCACATTTGTATAAAAATAATACGTGATTGATTTTCTAATAGCAAACAATATAAACAAATACATATGGGGTGGGACAAAAATAGGTTTACAGTTGTGAGTACGCAAAATAGTTTATTCTTATATTATTATTTATTATTATATTATTTTCCATATGAATAACTGTAAACCTTTTGCCACACCCTGTACAATAAAAAGTAAAATTCCCCCTCCATATTCACACTTTGTCCATTCTCCTCCCCTGGAATTGACAACTGAGAAGGATTGGTATATAGTCAATATGTATTTTCCAGGCAAATGCAAATCTATAGAAAAGAGATTTGTCTTTTCTTAATTGAATGATAGTTCAGTGGCCTATTTTGTTTATTAAACAGGTTATTATAGGTCCTTCCACGTTGATACCTACAACTCTACCTCATTTTTTAAAAAAAATAAGATCGGGGTATCAAAATGTATTTAACTTGATGGATATTCAGATTATCTCAAGGTATTTTTTAAAAAAATATGCTTTTATTGATTTCAGAGGAAGGGAGAGGGAGAGAGAGTTAGAAACATCAATAATGAGAGAGAATCACTGATTGGCTGCCTCCTGCACACCCCCTAAGGATCGAGACCAAAACCCAGGCATGTGCCCTGACCGGGAATCAACCATGACCTCCGGATTCATGGGTCAACGCTCAACCACTGAGCCCCACCGGCCGGGTGATTATCTCCAGGGATTGTTTTTGTTTTTGTTTTTTTATCTCCAGTTTTAAATTATGTTTATAAATTATGCCGTGGTGGCTATCCTTGTGCCTACATTCTTGTACAATGTGTAAGACAATTTCCTAAAAGTGAATTAGTTGGGTTAAAATTGATTTGGTTTTGAATCCTGGCTTTCCTAGCTTGCTTACTTTAAACAAATTAATTCATCTCAATCTGCTACCTCATCTGCAAAAGGAAATACAATAATTCAGAGTTTTATGAAGATTACCATATATGACCTAAGACACACCAGCTGTCAGGAAATTTTAATTTCCTTTTTTCTATAAGTTCTTTCCAATTAAAAAGTAAGCTTCACCCCTAGTTGGTTTGGCTCAGTGGATAGAGCATCAGCCTGCAGACTGAAGGGTCCCAGGTTCGATTTCGGTCAGGGCACATGCCTGGGTTGCGGGCTTGATCCCAAGTAGGGGGCGTGCAGGAGGCAGCTAATCAGTGATCCTCTCTCAGCATTAATGTTTCTCCCTTTCTCCCTCTCGCTTCCTCTCTGAAATCAATAAAAATATTTTTTTAAAAAATGGTAAGTTTCATGAGGAGAGGGGTGCCTTAAGATCTACACATAGGTCATGTTACTCTTTTTACACTGAGTGAGACTCAGAAAGTTATCCAGTTGCCAGAATGTTTTCCTTAATCCGCTTTTATAACCTTTTAGGATCGCCAAGGATCCAAGATTTGAACGATTACCATGCACACACAAAGGAACCTATGCAGATGACTGCTTAGTACAGAGAGTAACTCAGGTATCGTCAGTTTTTAAATGCTTACTTTGTATGCTTAATAAAAAAAAGAGAGAGAAGGCAAACTATTGTCTCCTGAATGTTCATGGTCAGAAAAGTAGCTAGGAATTTAAATGGTAATATAATACATATACATATACATATACATATAGAGAGAGAGAGAATCCCTTCATAGTAATCGTAGGTGCCCTCATTTACTTGAGGGAAGTGGATTAGAAATGTATAGGATAGCATAATGGAAAGATCATGGGTTTCAGATATTAGCACCTGCATTTATTAGGTGTGTGATTTGGGACACTTACTGATTCTTTATTCCATAAATCTTTTCTATAAAATGATTCAAGTGAGTGAGTGTAGATAATACAGTTGACCCTTGAACAACGCCAGGGTTAGGGCTCTGACCCCTTGCGCAGTTGAAAATCTGTGTTATTGTCTAACTTTTGACTCCCAAAAACTTAAGTTGTCCCTTGGTATCCATGGGGGATTGGGTTCCAGGACCCCCTCTAGGTACTAAAATCTATAAATGCTCAAGTCTCTTATATAAAACTAGTGCCCCAATGCACGGATTCACACACATTGAAAGGAAATTAATTAGAAAGTGGCCTGCGGGGCGGGACTGGGCAAGACAGGCCAGACATGCCCTGGAGCCAACCTCTCGTGGTCCCTCCCCAACCGGCCGCACCTGGGGCAGCACCATGGCTTGAAGGGCTCTGCGCAGTGAGCGGGGTCCCTCTGGCAGGTGGGGTCCCTCAGCCTGGCCTGCAGGGATTGGCCGAAACTGGCTCTCTGACATCCCCGGAGGGTCCCGGATTGAGAGAGGGCAGTTCTCTGGTGACACATCCTGGAATTGGGCTCCCTCCTTTCTGGTTCCGGGGTGCATCACCTGAGAACTGCTGCTACCAGGTCACCACAGCTCAACAGCTCCTGCATTGGGTGTCTGCCCCCTGGTGGTCAGTGTGTGTCATACCTACCGGATGGTCAGACGGTGGCTTAGCCTTTTAGAGATAGATGATTGATAGATAGATAGATAGATAGATAGATAGATAGATAGATTAGATGGATATGATGTGGATCAATGCATGCAGTCCGTCCTTCACATCTGCAGACTCCCAACTGCAGAACAAAAACAATACAGGTATTTATTGAAAAAATTCACATATAAGTGGACCCAAGCAGTTGAAACCCGTGTTTTTCAAGGGTCAATTTATACGATTTCACCTCTCTGTGAATCTAAAATAAGGTTCCATTCCACTTACTCCCCACAAAGGAATTTTGTTCCTCTCTACCGTGCCCAATCCAGAAGCATTTCTCAGTTGCATCTAAGTCTCCCAGGGTGTCATCTCACAAAGACCCTGGAATCAGTTGGTTTTTTATTTCTTGGCAGCCACCACAAGAACTTCTGCTACTGTTTGCCCTTATAAGAGCCTCTCTAGGCTGTGGGTAATCATCTTCATTGAATGACCACATTGTCAGCCCTTTAGCAACTCCATTCATGGGCATGTCCAGCATTTCCCTTAATTTCCCACAGCACAGCTGACATCAGGCTACAACTTGTTATAAAACTCAGTGGGAGGTTTGGGTATGATAGAAGTAAAGTAGAACATAAATTACCTCGCAGATGGCAGCTACATATTGCTTTCAGAGTTGCTAGGCTAAGACTTGTCCTGGAGATCCTAGTCTGGCTTCAGGACCAAGAGGGCAGCCTACCTCCACCACCAGAAGGCCTCAGAGTAGGCCTTACAATCCTGAGAAAGGCAGAAGCTGTGCCCTCCAATCTAAGGCACTTACTCTGCCTTTGCATAGAGTCCCTTGGGACATTTTCCCAAAATCAAGGAATTTTCTACCCCAGATGTAAAAGTCATTTCCACGTATGAGACAAAAAATGGATTACAACTTTTAGCTTTTCTGTCTTCTCCCCCTCAAGATTCTCAGAGCTACATTCAGCCTTGGGCAACTTATTAATAAGTTTTATAAACATGAGCTCCTCAATCATAGTATCTACTCAACAAATTGTTATAACCTTTGCTATGTACTGTGAAAATGAATTAATTCTTCAGACTCGACAGTGATTGTGCCATTATAGTATCACTAAGTAGACTCAATAAACTTGATGTGTGTCTCTTATAGCACAAGTGTTATATTGTGGCCACAGTTGACCGGGACCTTAAACGAAGAATCAGGAAGATCCCTGGAGTTCCCATCATGTACATTTCTAACCATAGGTGAGAACTTCCTCTTGGGGAAGTGATTAAAAGTATATAGTTGATATCAATTAAAAATGAGGTCAGATTATAGAAGAATTTAAAAGAGATTGTATCAAATACTTACATAGTTGTATTTGAAAACGTGAGACAAAATAACAAGAACAAGGGCAAAAGATAAGGTAGGATTTAGGAAAGAGGCAGACATTCACATTGTTACAATATGATTAACAGAAGAAATAGAGTGACATGTTGCTTTAAATGCAAAGCAGTAATTTAAATCAAACTAATCTTTTTGGCCAGAAATTGTTATTTTAAAAGCCTAGTGCATGTGATTAGCACCCCTCTGGGAAACTGCCTATTTAAAAAAAAAAAAAATTTAAAGCTGCTCTTTATCCTTCTTGGATGTTCCCATGCTAGTCCTCAGACTATTACTGCCCAGCCTCTCAGCCTGGGGAGAGCACAATATAGAGGGAATAATATGGGCAAGGGAGTTGCGCTTACCTGGACTCAGTGCCCAGCTCCCCCCGTTGGTAACTTTCTGACTTTGAAGAATAAAGAAAATACATTATAGTCAGCATTTTGCTTCAGATCACTCACTGTGATATCCCTTTAAAATGTTCTGACTGACAAAAAGGATTCACATTGAGGGGTTGAGAGTATCGCCGTCAGTAAAGAATGGGTTTTTAGGTGGCTCCTGGACCCACCTTTCTTACCAGTGTTAATTTTTTTTCCTGATTAGGTACAACATTGAGCGGATGCCAGATGATTATGGAGCCCCTCGATTCTAATACTTAAAAAACAAAGTTTCTCTGCTTTCCTTCAACCAAATTTCTCTGTTGCAGGTTTATTAAACATGCTACAACATGCAATATTGCTCCACTCACACATTTGCTGTTATGAGCTGAGAACAGTTAAATACACTCACTTTTTGGTGGTGTTTTGAAAATGATTTTGATGTTGTTTTGAAAATGATATTTTGTTTCATTTGAAATTTTGTTACATCTTTTTATAAATCTGATGACTGCTCACAACTTCCATGGTTGTTGTTTTATATTATTTACTCAACAATACTTATTAAGGTTATACTCGGTACTTAATAAGATATGGTCCTACCCTCAAGACAATCTTATTATGTGGGAAAGGGAAACATGTAGATGAATAACTATAGTAAAATAATATGCTAGGATAAAAGTATGACAACTAGAAACAAAAGAGGAGAGAATGATTTCTTTCTACTTGGTTGGGAAAGGGAGGGAGGAAAGGCTAGAGGTAGTAATGTTTGAGTTAATCTTTAAAAATAAATAGGTGCTTGCCTAGTAAATGAGATAAAGAAAATGAGGTGCAGGAAACATAAACAAAAGCTTGGAGACAGATATTACATGGAATGAATGTGTTTCACCTGTTCAGACAGCTGCCAGGAGATTTTTATAACTAGAACGTAGGGGGAAGTTATCTGTACCCACATCTGGGACTCTAGAGGTACGAGGTGGGAGGGAGGGGGGCCTTATGTGACTTGCTAAAGAGTTTGGACTTGATCTTGAGGTCAGTAGGAAGTTATTAAAAATTTAAATTGGATAAATAACATGATCAGAATAAATATTTTTTTTAATATATTTTTATTGATTTTAGAGAGAGAAGGGAGAGAGAGAGAAACATCCATGTGAGAGAGAAAGCGATCGGTTTCCTCCAATACTCACCCCGACCAGGAATCGAATCCACAACCTGGGCACGTGCCCTGACTGGAATCCAATCAGTGACCTTTCGGTTCATGGGACGATGCTCAACCAACTGAGCCACACCGGCCAGGGCAGAATAGATATTTTAAATGATCACAAGGTAGTGTAGGAACAGACAAATAGATCACTGAAACAATAAGTCCATGAACCCCTATATATTTATGACAATTTGGTATATTGTAAAGTTTGTATTTCAAGTCTAGAAAAAGGAAATTGTATTAGAAGGCCAAATAGTGTGGAGTCATTCTACTAGGGTTAGAATCCTGATTTTACTAGTTAATATCTATATTAGTTGGGCAATCTACATAAACATTTGGTGCCTTTCTTGCAACCTCTTAAAATGTTTTGAGTCCTGGCCACTGTGGCTCAGTTGGTAGAGTGTCGTCTCATACACTGAGAGGTCGGAGGGTCAATTCTGGGTCACAGCACCTGCCCAGGTTGCCAGCTTGACCCCCAATAGGGGACATGTGGGAGGCAACCGATGGATGTTTCTCATCCATGTTTTCCTCTCCCTTTCTCTCGCTCTAAAATCAATAAGAACATTTTTTAAATGTTTTTTGGGGGAAAAAGTTTTGTTTAATCCACAAAACAACCCAAATAAGATGGGATTAGATTGAACAGTACCTGCCACAAGAGTTATTCAATAAATGTTAGTAATTATTGTTACAATGGCAAGTTGGCTATCCATTTGAAAAACACTTTAGATTCCTACTTTATATCCCTTTATGAGAATACATTTCAAGTGGATCAAAGATCTAAACTTTATACGTGTGAATCTTGATGAGTGTGAATATATTAAAATTATACATTTCTATGCAAAGCAATTCCCCCAAATATTAAGACAAGTGACTGGCCAGAAGATTTTCATATATATATAACAAGTGAGGAAACGGGTAGTCATGGAGTGCTTATAAGAGTGCAAATAGCCGAAACCGGTTTGGCTCAGTGGATAGAGCGTCCGCAGCCATGCCCATGAAAGGCCGCTTCCCGATTCGCCGCACCCTGCAGTACCTGGGCCAGGGGGACCTGGTGTTCAAGGACACAGTGAAGGTCATGACGGTGAATTACAACACGCACGGGAAGCTGAGCGAAGGCGCCAGGAAATTTGTGTTTTTCAACATACCTCAAATCCAATACAAAAACCCTTGGGTGCAGATCATGATGTTTAAGAACATGACACCATCACCCTTCCTTCGATTCTATTTAGATACTGGTGAGCAGGTTCTCGTGGATGTAGAGACCAAGAGCAATAAAGAGATCATGGAGCACATCAAAAAAATCCTGGGGAACGCCAGAACCGGTTTGGCTCAGTGGATAGAGCGTCGGCCTGCGGACTGAAAGGTCCCGGGTTCGATTCCGGTCAAGGGCATGTACCTGGGTTGCGGGCACATCCCCAGTAGGGGGTGTGCAGGAGGCAGCTGATCGATGTTTCTCTCTCATCGATGTTTCTAACTCTCTATCTCTCTCCCTTCCACTCTGTAAAAAATCAATAAAATATATTTAAAAAAAAAAAAAATCCTGGGGAAGAATGAGGAAACCCTCAAGCAAGAAGAGCAGGAGAAAAAGCAGCTTTCTCATCCAGCCCACTTTGGACCTTGAAAGTATTGCCTGCGGGAGTGCATCTGTGAGGTGGAAGGGCAGGTGCCCTGCCGGGCCCTGGTGCCCTTACCCAAGGAGATGACAGGGAAGTACAAAGCAACTCTGAAAGCCAGTGCCCAGGACTAAGGCCCCAGGCCTGTGGGCGAGGGTTACCTTGACCACAGGGAGATCCTAGTTCTGTCCTCAGAGACTCTGCCAATAAAATGCTCCTTAATCATCCAGCAGCATGGTGTGTATCCAGTCTGCTAGGCACAGGAGGAAGGCCTGCATGGGAACAGGACTTTGGGATCAGGAAGGTGTAAGGCCACAGTCTATTGACATCTTGGTCTTGTGGCCTTTTCCTTGTCTCCACTGATTTCGACTCCTCTTCCAGACCCTACTCTGAAAATTCAGTTGAGTCTGGTTGGAGCTAGTTGTGGCTGGCAGTGTGGATGTTCCCTCCATTCAGGCTCTCTGGGCATCTTTCAGAAATCCCGGGGCAAACCTTTGTGCAGTGCTCACTTTTAAATTAAAGCCAGCTGACCTTTTCCTCCTGAGGGACCTGGCTGTGGAAGCTG